AGGAAGGAAGGAAGGAAGGAAGGAAGGAAGGAAGGAAGGAAGGAAGGAAGGAAAGAAGGACAAATTTACCACTCGGCTTTGCCCGCTGAGTGAGGCAGAGCCCGGAGCCCCGGCTCCCAGACCCTCTGCTGACCGCCCCTGGCTTCCCTTACTGTCTTCACATCAGTGACAGCATCACTCAATCCAGATTCTAAATGTCTGAACTTGAACTTCTAAAGGCTGCTATGACTCTTGAAGTTCACCCCAGGGTATTGAGACCTGATTTTGTTTGTTTTCTTAAAGTCTCTGAATCCCTACTGCCCAGCCCTGGTGGGGGTGCCCGACGCTCACTGGGGGCTCACTAAATGTTTGTTGGATGACTGTGTGATCACGGCCCTCTGCGTGTTCTCCCTTATTATATGAGCATGGCCTTTCTCCTCCCAGACCTCAAGGTACGGGTCAGGGGCCATGTCCACAGTGTTTTCACTGGCCTCCAAGCGTAGCACAGTGCTGAGAACCCAGGAGTCTCCATGAATGAAGACCCCTTGTATCACTGAGCTTAAAAATGCAGCCTGGAAGGAAATGGGGAGGGGGAGGCTGGACTGCACGGAGGGGTGCCCTGAGTGGGCACACAGGCCAAGGACACGGGACCCACTTCTCAGAACTCACTTCACACCCATTAGTGACTTAAAAATGCAGGCTTTATTCAGCTCACAGTTCTGCAATTGGCAACTTCTCCTGGGCTCAGCCGGACAGCCATTTCAGTTCCAGCGAGCTGCTCTCGTGGGTCACGGTCAGCAATGAGTGGGCTTTGCTGACCTTTGCTGAGCGCTCTTATGTGTCTGAGGTCTGAGTGGACATGGCTGGGCTGACGGACTCTGGCTCCCACCTGCCAGTGGGCCAGGCAGAGCCCGGCGTCCTGGGAAAGCAGAGCACCAGGCCTCCAGAAGCCTAAGCTCGGGAACTGGTAGACCATCCAAACATTCCACTACATTCTATTGACCGAAGTAATTCACAGGGCCAGCACGGAGTTCAGATTCAACCACTGGGCAGACTCTCCTTCTCCATGGGCAAAGCCGAGCGTTCCTTCACGAGAGGCAAGGATGCAGCAAGGTAAGGACAATTGGGGCCAATTTTACATTCTGCCATGCCAGTTGGGCATTATAAAGAACAGAATCTGCTCAGCTCAGGTCACTTTGGTGTTCATTAGAATCTAAGTCTGATATCACCAGGGCCTTCTGAATTTGGATGGAAATTTTGGGGCCCTCTGATGCCCTCTTCCAGGCCCTTTCTCCTCTCTGTGACAGTGGTGGGTGTGGATATCCTCATGCCCTGTCTCCGGAGAGATGGAAATGGCATTAATTTTTCCTACTTGAGGGATTTCAGAGAGCAGAACCCCAACAGACGAGAAACAAAGTCCAAGGGCATCTCTCAGATCCTTGGCTGTGTGCCAAGACCGTGTTTTCCGGGATCCCTGTTCTGGCCCTGGCTGGATGTGGGTTGCAAACCCGGTTCCCAGGTCTGCCCTGCATCCTGATTTTGGGGCAGGGGGTTGGAGGGAGAGTTTAGGGTAGATCCTGGGTCATTTTCCCATCCTGGAAATTCCTGGGCGGGGCCTGGGAACAGCTCTCTATCCTGTCACCTGTTGGAGTGCTTCTTAGCGCTTGCGACTATCAGAAAATGTTATTTATTTTTGTCTCTATATAGGGGCTGTCTCCCTCCATAGCATGCCAGGATTTTATTTTTTCTAATGCTGATCGGCTGCCCTCAGGGTCGAGTGACAAAGGAGTACCCTAGGCCATGTGCTGAAGTGTGACTGCAGAACTAGAGCCTGTAAGGGATGGCGTGAGAAGGCTTCTGGAAGGACGGGTGACACTGGATCCCATGCTGGCCGACGAGGGGGCCCGGGGCTGCCTAGCACTGGGGCTTCCGCCTGCCACAGCGGGGCCGGCTGGAGAAGAACTGCTCAAAGTTTTTCTCGTAGGTGGGCAGGCTCTCTCTGAAGCAATATGCAGACTGCCTGTCACACTCACATGCCCACAGCCCGCAGAGACAGCTGACTCTGGGGCCAAGGGCACACTAACCTGCAGAGAGAGAAAGGGTCACTGGGGGCTTCGCTTGGTTCTAAGGTTGGGGAAAACAGGGGCTTGCAGCAAGGGGTCAAGGGTTGAAAACAGAAAGGGAAGAAATTGGGAGTCCATCTCCGGGGTCCCCGGTCACACCTGGACATGCCACGGGGACTAGAGTGAAGAGCAGCCTGGAAGGAAATGGGGAGGGGGAGGCTGGACTGCATGGAGGGGTGCCCTGAGTGGGCATGCAGGCCAAGGACACGGGACCCACTTTCTCAGAACTCACCTCACACTTCCAGCTGCTTTCTTGACATCTTGCTGGGACGTCTCCGGCATCCCCAACTTAAGGCGTTCAAAAGGAACACTCGATGTAGTGCTCCCTCTGCCCACGAACCTGTCCTTCACCCACGCTCGAGGCTCACAAATGGCATCACCTCCTCCTCGAGCCAGAAAGTGAGCAGCAGCCTGGGTTCCTCCCCGCCTCCCACTTTGCACATCCAGTCCACAGCAAGCACCACCCGTGTCTCTGTTTAGAGTACTTCACGCTCCACCCTCTCTCCTCCACCTTCCTGGCCACTCCCCCACTCCCTGTCACCACCAGTTCGTCCTCCCTAATGGGACCTTCTTAAACTGTCACCCCGATCAGGTCCACTCTCCTGCTTCAAGCCCCAGCACAGTTTCCTAGTATTGGGGGAAGACACCCAAATCCTCACCAGGGGCCGAGAGCAGCCTCGCCGTGATCCGGCCCTCGCCAACCTCTCCGTCCCCACTGTCCTTCACTCTGCTCCGGGCACTCTGGCCTCTCTATGCTTGGCTCCCTTTTGTCCTGGGGCCTTTGCTCACACTGTTCTGTCTAAAACACTTGTCTCCAGGACCTTCAAGCAACTGGATCCATCTCCTCCTTTGGGTCTTGGTCAGATTTCCCCTCCTCAGAGAGGCCCTCCCGGGCCCCCGACCTAGAGCTCCCTCCAGCCAGTCTCCTGCACATCCCGTCTATCTCATTCACTGTGCTTTGCACAACCTGGGTGTCTCTTATGTGTTTACTTGAGTGTGTTTGTCTCCCCTCGACGGAGTGTGAGCTCTGTGAGGCTGGGCCTTTGCCTGTCTTGGCCCTCACAGTATCCCCAGCATGCAGAACAGATGCTGACACGTAGTAGGTGCTCCACGGACAGTCGCTGATAAATGAACCCAGCCTCTGTCTGGGCCTTTGGGATTGAGTGTCTGCCCTTCGGCCGAGTCACCACTAGATGGGGATCTTTTATTTACTTGTCAGAGCTGTCGTGTTTGGGTGTGTGTGTGTGTGTGTGTGTGTGTGTGTGTGTGTTCTGCTCTCTTCTGAGGGTTCAGGGGGAGGAAGGGAGGCAGCCTGACTCCCCAGTTTGTTGATCATGGGCAAGCTAGTCAGTATCCACATTTACAAAATGATGATAAAAACTATAATAGTGTCAAAAATAAATAACGGTGTCTACTGTGCAGGATCATTGCGAGGGTTTTCGTGGCTGTTTCGGGAGGGAGTGGTGTGCACGTGGCAGGCGCGCCCAGAGTGCTCCGTAAGTGCTCATGGTGATGATGATGGTGTTGCCTCTTGGAAGAAGAGGAGCCCTTTGAACTTGGCCCCAGTGCTGGCTGGCCTCTGTTTGCCTTTCTCCCCCCGAAGTCCAATTCCTGCAGCAAGCTGTCCTCTGGCATCTCCCCGGAGACTTGGTTTCTCGACAGCCATCCTACGCTTCAGCTGTGCCCTCCGTGCACCCTCATGAAATGTGCCAGGGATGTTCCCGCCCCTGGCTCTCGGCTCCTGTCACTCCCACCATTCTTGACACCTGGGTCACCTTTGCCCTCGCACTGCCTCTTTCCATCTGTGAAAATCCTCCAGGATCCATCAAGCCCCAGCTCCCCCAGGAGCCCGTTCCAAGCCCCTCCGGGTCTCTGGCCTCCCTCGTACCCAGTACACCCCTTGCTTCCTGCCGGGGTGGCCGCCGTGGTCTGCAGGGGCCCACTTGGACTTGTGGGTGGTGTCCTCAGGGGGCTATTTGGATGCAGGGCACTGCCCTCTTCAACCTCGCTCTCCTCGGGAAAGGGCCTGTCACTCACCTGGAGCCCTGTCACTCTGCCTCTGCCCCTCCTCTTCCTTGTCCTCTTTCTGGCTACTTCTGTCTTCTGTTCCTCTCTTCCTCTTTTCCATCTCACCTGTCCTTTGTCCTTTCTCTCACTTCCCTGTCCCTTTCTGGCTTTGTCTGGTCCTTTCTGACACACAGAGTATGACTCTCTCCTGAAGCACAGGGCACCTCTAACACCCGCCCCCTGGGGCCCAGGCCCCCGGGAACTGATCTGAGCAGGGGTCAACGGCTGTGGGCTACCAGTTCTGGGGCATCCCACAGCCATGGCCGGACCAGGCCTGTCGAGACCTGGAAGGAGAGGCAGTCCCTGGGCCAAGAAATGTCCTCTTTGCAAGCCATCTTTTCAAAACCAGCCTGAATCCAGTTTCTGCATCTTCCAGTTTGTGAGTGGAGACACTGAGACAAGAACTGAGACATGAAGAAAGGAACTGGTGGCTTCAGGGCCGTCTTTCTCAGTCTGTGACGTAGACTTCCACAAATGGGACGAAGCAGGACGCTCTACAGGAATGTTCGCCACGGAGAACTCGGGCTCCTGCCAGGCCTCCGCCCTGCTCTCTCAAGTCTCTCCCTGGGCCTCTGGTTCAGTCTCAGGGCTTTATATGCCATCTGAGGGGCGCCTGGGTGGCTTAGTCAGTTAAGCATCTCCCTTCAGCTCAGGTCATGATTCCAGGGTCCTGGGATCGAGTCCCGCATCGGGCTCCCTGCTCCACGGGGAGTCTGCTTCTCCCTCTGTCTCTCCCCTCTGTTCCCTCTGTCCCTCCCCCGCTGCTGGTGTGCTCTCTATCTCACGCTCTCTCTCAAATAAATAAAATCTATTTATAAAAAAATAATAAATGCCATCTGAACACCCATGACTCTGGGGTTCTCATCCCAGCCAGGTGTCTCCCCTGAGCTCTAGACTCCGATATGCTCCTGTCCACTTGACTACCTGTCGGGTGTCTGATATGCATCTCAAACTCAAGAGGGCTCATGCCAAGTGCTTGCTGTGTCTCCCTAACCTGTTCTTCCCCATCTGCACAAGCTCGGACAACACCTTACCTACGGCTGCTTGGGCCGGGAACCTTGAATTCCATCTCTTTTTCCTTCTCACCCGGCATCTCATCCATCAGCAGCTCCTGGCAATTTACCTCCAAAACACCCAGCATCGGACACTTCTCTCCTTCTCCACTCCACCACCCTGTGGAAGCTTCTCCCCAGTGCTCACTAATGGCTCCCCATCTTTCCTCCCTGGCTCCCCAACCACACTGGACAGTGGCCAGGGTGATCTTTCTAAAGCAAGAGTAGACCATATCCTGCTGCAAACACTCTGGCCACTTCCCCTGCAATGGAAGGAGAAGGCGCCCTCCACACCTGTTGGCCCAGCCCGGTGCCCCCCCCATTTCCCGTGCACCACCACCCTCCGCGGCCCCGCTGCCCATCGCCTCTTCTCCTGCCACACTGGCTAAATGCCACTTCCTTGTGAGGGCTTCTTCAGCCCCAGGAAGTAGCCATCCTTCCCTCTCCCTGCCGTCATCATTCTGTATCCTGTTGCCTTGTTGTAGCACTTTATTTCTCAGTATTTGGGGACCTGACTCCCTCCCTGGAGGCAAGCCCCCTGGGCAGGGAATTTGTCTTCTCATTGCACATCTTCAGCCGTAAACACGCAGTGTTTAGGCTGGATGTTCACCTTCTGCGGGACAGCAAAAGGATCCCCATCCCAGGAAACGGGAAGCCAGGTTCTCCATCCAGACCCACCACCTGTGTGCTTTAGGATCTCAGGCTAGCTGCTGGTCCCCAAGCCGGTTTCCGCAGCTTTCAAATCAGGAAACAGACACTTGCATTAACTATTTCATGAGTTCATTCATTCACTCATCAAACAGGTACTGAGTCCTTAACATGTGCCTGGCCTTCGGCACTGGAGCTGCAGGTCTGAGCAAGCAGACCCCACGTGGCATAGCTCCCAGGGCGTCCTTCTCTGTGGGTTCTAATGAGGATGAGTGCCCACCCCCAAACACAAGACAGACTTGTTCCTTGCTCCCCCCGAACTCACATTCTGGTTGGCAGGAGAGCGGATGCATAAATAAACAAGGTAATTTCAGGTAGAGACAAACGCTAGGAGGAAAAAAAGGTGATGTGTCAGCAAGTGGAGGTGTTGTGAGGAATACATTTAGTAATGAAGGAGAAAGAGCTTTGCAAACCACAAATTCCAGTGGTTACCGTGTTCACCTTCCCTCGCTGGCAGAGGGAGAAGTCAGAAGCTCAGGCATGGAGGTGTAAGTGGACCAGTGGCTGGAAACTGGTCTCTGCCCCCCATGCCGCCTGCACAACGCATACATGTCTATGTGGGTGGAGGGGGGCATCTGCTGCCTAATCTTAAAGTCCCTTGCAAATGCCAAGTACTTATGTAAGCCCACTCAGAGGGGGGATAACAATCTCCCTGGTTGCTCGAGGGTGGCCTTTGCCACCTGGCAAATTGGCCCCAGGGCTTGGGTTATAGGCCTTTCTCTGCACTCATCTCCCAGTGACATTTAAAGACATGGACAGGCCAAGTTGTTTTTCTCCTTTCCCTTCCTTCTCACCAACTGCATCCCAGATCAGCTGCTGGTTGCTAGGCAACCCGGGGCCAGGCTCTGGGTACAGGATTTCAGAACTTGGAGGCTGGGGGGGGGGGAACAGGGGAGGGGGAGGCAGTTAACCCTTGCAGGGCTGCTCTTTGAACTGCAGTGTAACTGGGGTGGAGGGGGGAAGAGATTTTCTTCCCTAGGGAGTTAATGACATTAGCTTGAAGAGGTACGGGTGTAGAGGAGAGGCTTCAGAGAAATCTCCTAACAGTAATGAAGAAAATCCCAGTGCTTTTCTGCAAAAGTAAAGGGGAAAAGAAAACTTGGGTGCAAAAAGAAGTCTCAGCTTCTAAAAGGAAAGGCATTACCTAGACACCTGCTATGGGTCAGACCCTTTAGTGGGGTTCCTTAAGCAACTTTATGAAGTGTAGATTATTATCCCCATTTTACAGACAAGGAGACTAAGGCCGAGGGTAGTTGTGCGATTATCCAGCTAGAAGCAGTGGAGCTGGGACTCAGACCCAGCTCTGCCTGACTCCAAAGTATGTGCTCTCTCTGGGCCTCTTAGCAGGGGACATAAAGCTAGAACAGAAAGATCTGGGGCATTACAGAGGGGCCGAGTCCATCTGCCTTTCTCTGTCCCCTGGGCCAGCACTGAGCATTCTGATGAGTATGCCGTTGACAACAAGACTTGCATTTGTGGGAGCTCTCCAACCAAGTGCACCTGCCCAAAACCCTCCTGGCAGCTCCATGCCACTGGGGAGGGCAATGTGAGGCAGGAGCACCAGCTCTGGGACCAGACAAACTGGGTCCGACTCACAACTCTTCTTTCCCTGGCTGTGTGACCGGGGCCATCTCAGCTAAACTCTCTGAGCCTCAGGGTCCTTCTTGATAACCATGCCCACCTCAAAGGTATATCCTGGGGGTTAAGGTGTTGTGTGTAAAGCATCTATCACAGATGCTCACGGACTGCAGCTGTTGCTAATGTACCTATTTTATGGATAAAGAAACTGAGGCCCAGAAAACTCAGGCCAAGCAGTGTGTTCCAGAGCACTGGAAAGGCTGAAGATGCATGTGTTTCAATCTTGCCTGTTACTCAGATCAAACTCTTAAACTCTCTGGGCCTCAGTCTCCCTGGCCCTACAATGAGGGGTTGGTCTCAAGGGTCCCTAAGGGCACTTTCAGCTCTGGAGAATGCCAGAAGAGCAGGACCTGAGGTTGCCTTGCTCTGCGCCCCAGCCCCTGCACAGTGCTGGCCCTGGATGGGCACCCAGGAGTCACTCAAGCAATACTGGACAAGTAAATAAATGTGCCTGGGTCTGGTTTGTGGGCTCAGCAGGTACCAGCAGCGGACCCAGGATCAGAACCCAGATCACCCAACTCCTAGCCCTACTCCTGGGAGCTGGGGCTCGGCAAGGTCGGGTGGGGAGGACGAGGAGTTGGCCTGGTACTCATTGGCTGGGTCAGCCAAGGAGGAGGATGCTGATGTCCTGCTGGTGATGGGGAAGCACCTGCCCCCTCCCCGTGCTAACTCCCTAAGCAGGGCTTTGGACTCCAGGAGGTCTGCTGAAGTTTTGAGGGCAACTGGCTGCCTGGCAGCATCTGTGGAAAGCACAACCCAGGCTGCAAACTTTTCAGCCCAGCTCCCAGCCCCTGCCTGCACCTCTCACCACCACTCAGCAGGTGCCAAGCAGAGGATGTTTCCATGTGCCACCTTGGGGGGGGTGCTCCAGCCTCTGTCCCAGATCACTCTCTCCCTCATCTCCTGGGGTCCCAGGCTGTGGCTCTGGCCCTACATGGGAGGGGGAAGAGCGCTGCTAAAGAAGCTGCTCAAAAAAGAAGAAGAAGAAGAAGAAGAAGAAGAGGAAGAAGGAGAAGAAGAAGAAGAGGAAGAAGAAGCAGCAGCAGCAGCTGCTCCAGGTGCAGAGGGCAGAGGCTTGCCCCGAGCCTGGGACCACAGTGCGGGCAGAATTCTGCTTCCCTTCCCAGATCACCTTTTCCCTTCTTCCTCGGCCCCTGCACTTTACGGGGGCACCAGAGGACAGAACTCCTCGAGGATATTTTCTCTAAAAGTGATAACTTTTCAAGCACTTTAAGGTAACACTTGACATGACAGATGTTATGATCAAGAGGAAAAGAGAGGAGAAGAAACCGTATGGGAGCGAGACCGTGAGCCAGGCTGAGAAGAGTCAGAGGCACCTTTCTCGTGTGCGCCCGCTCCAGCTAACCGCCAGGCTTGCCCCCCTGACTCCTGCCAAGCGGAGCCCAGAACAGTGGGAAGACGCAGCCAGAGACTCAGTCCCTGCCTCCGAGGGCATCATGTGCCAAAGTGAACAACACTCTGGGGGCAACCTCCTCCAGCCCCCTTCCCCTGCCCCGCCCCCACTAGGCCCTGATCTCATCCCATCCCCTGCACGTGGTCTGCGGGATCTCCCAGAAGACACACCGCTTTAGGGGTCAGCACCATCGTGGCCAGGGAGCTCCGGCACAGATGTCTCCTTGAGCTCACATGGGAAATGAGGGTTCTCCCCATCGATGGTGTGCGTGGGGGCTGGGGGCTATGGAGCCTGAGAAGCAGACCATCAGTCCTCCCACTGCGGGGTTCTGAGCCACAAGCCCCCCCTCCCCTCCGCCCCGGCTCAGGTCTCACCAATGGACCAGGGACACCGCATAGTCCTAACGCTTGGTCAGTCTTGATGTGTCCTGAGCTGGGGCCCGGGGGTGGGGGGGCATTGGGGAGCCCTGGGGTTTGGGCACTGAGCCCCCACCCTAAGGGGGGAGATGAAGGGAAGGGAGGTGGTGGTTCCCTGACCTCGGGGGGCAGGTGAACTCCGACACGCTCACAGCTAAGCACAAATACACAGAGGGAGGAAAGGGGTTGGTGCCACTCCTCAAGTCCAGGTGGGAGGCCAGTTGCCCTGAGGGGCATTCAAACCACTGCAATGAGTGGCATTCCCGGAAAAGCTATAGCCAGGACTTCAAACGTGCTTGCTCTTTAGACCAAACTTGCCCTACACACACCCACACCCCAACAGCCCCAGAACATGCTCCAGGATATCGGGGGCCATTCCCCACCTGCTGGACGCTCAGTACTTGCTTGCCCTTGTCCTTTGCCCTCCTCCTTGAATGGCCTCGATGACACATGAGTTCCCTTCCCCGACCCCTCCCATTTACTTTTGTGCCCCCCCCACCACGGCACCTACCAGTGCTTGGCATGTCCTCGCCCTCAACAAATATTTGTTCAACTGAAAGACAGCTGAGCTGTTTGTTAACACATGACAGACGAGGAATGTTCTCAACAGCGACAGTTGCCAAGCAAAGCTGCAAGATTCAATGTAATCTCAAGTCAACAACTATTTATTGAGCAGGTGCTATACCCCAGGCCCCACGCTCCGTGCTCCCCGAGAGTGCAAGAGGTACAGCCATGGACCGGAGAGACCAGAGACCAAGCAAGCGCTCCCAAGAAGCTCCGATTCCTAGAATTGACACTTTCTGTCTCAAAGCACTCCTCAGCCAGCAGGCAGACATGAAGGAGAGGCCCAGGTTCAAAGCCATGTGTCTGCAGAGAGGGCTACTCACAGGCCACGGTCCCATTGGCGATGTGGAATCGGTAGCTATTCAGCATGGGCTGGCAGCCGGGCTGCTTTAGCTTCCGTAGCAGCAATCATGCATCAGGCAGCATCTGGGGGCCAGACCAGAGCAGGTGAGGGGGGCGGGCCCTGGGGCATCAGCGGGGTTTGGGGGGAGAAACGTGGGTAGAACCTGGAAAGGATCCCCCTGCCTCCTCCCCAGAGCGAGAAGGTATTGAAGGTAAGGAGGTAAGTTCCTGAAAATCATAACAATATAAACACAACCACTCACATTTACTGAGCCTTTTCTAGTACCTTCTGCTATCTCATGAGCTCCTCTGTGTAACCCCATGAAGTGTGATCGTACTCCCCATTTTTGTAAGGGAGGAGACGGGATCCCAAGAACGGAAATTTCTTAAAATTATAGAGCTGGAAAATCACAAACGCACACACACACACGGGGCTCAAACCTAGGTCCATGTGACTTGGTCATTCATGTAATGAGTTTTTCCTGAGCACCTACTATGTGCCAAGCACTGTGATAGTCCCTGAGGACACGGGTCAGCAAAAACACCCATAGTCCTGGGCGCCTGGGTGGCTCAGTCGTTAAGCGTCTGCCTTCGGCTCAGGTCATGATCCCAGGGTCCTGGGATCGAGTCCCACATCGGGCTCCCTGCTCAGCGGGAAGCCTGCTTCTCCCTCTCCCACTCCCCCTGCTTGTGTTCCTGTTCTCGCTGTCTCTCTCTGTCATATAAATAAATAAAATCTTTAAAAAAAAAAAACAAAAACACCCATAGTCCTTCAGTCCTTGTTCTCACGGTGCTCAGAGTGACCCAGGGCGGGAAGGGAGAACACCAAGAAGAGAAAGCAGCTGGGATGGACAGGGGACGGGATTTTAAGACACAGAAAAGCAAATGCTCTGGGCCAGATGCTTCAGTCCTTCCTCTCGCCATCCTGCCTCTGAGCTGGCTCTTTGCTGTTTGTCATCTCTGTCTCATGGTGTTAAAATTGTCATCGGCCTTCGGGCTTGGAAGGTGAGGAACAGAGGGGCAAAGGGCCCGGATTTGGAAACAGGCAAATTCTGGTTCACTCAGGGGCTGGTGTGTCTTTAGGCTTTGCTACGGTGGTTTAGGGGGTCCTCACAGCTGCTGCCTGTCACCTGGGGATGGGACCACTGCCTTGGCCACCGGACATAAGGATTAAGTTAGGCCCCGTGTGCCCATCACCGATCCCAGTGCTCGGCACATCATGGGGTTCCATCAGTGTCAGTGCCCCTGTAGGGCTCAGGGATCCCTCCAGCTGGAATATTCCATGCTCTCAGGAGCCCAGCCCCGAGGACTCAAGCTCCAGGAGTGACATTTCAGGCCCTGCTGCAGGAACATATTTATGCATGCGAGGTTAAAAGTGGCGAGAAACACCTTGTTTCTTATTTCTTCAAATGAATGATGTGCAAACTATCCTGTTTCCTACCTCCCCATGCCCTCGCCACGTCACGCCAACCCCCACTTCTTCTGGGGACTCACGCTCCCCACCCCCACGCTGAAGAGTAGGCCTGGCAGCCACGTTGGGCCATGTGGCTTTGCCCAGATGGACAACTTCTCCAAACTGGGCCACTGGGATTCTCTCTCCCGGAATGTGGAATTAGGCCCGGGAGACAGCAGGGCAGCCTTGTTGTGGTCTAATCCTAAAAACTGGGTTGCTGAGCGAAGATCACGTTTGCCGTGACGTTTGAGAATTGAAGACGGTTCTGCGGCTCTGAGCAGGACTCACTGGATGATTTTCGAGGCCTGGTGCAACATGGGAGGTTGGAGCACGTTGTTCGGACACAAGAATTTCGAGATGGTGGCTACCGAGCAGCAAACCACCAATGGGCTCCTGTCACTCGCAATGCGAGAGTCCTAACACCCTGCCTCACCCTCGGCCCGGGTCTCAGTGCAAATCAAAGGAAAGCAGGCCTGGCGCCTCAGCACTCACCTGTCAGTGTCATCCACGGGGGTGTCTTTGCCCCCAAGGCCACAGTAGCAGCCGTATCCATAATATGAGAAGAAGGCGCTCCGCCCCGTGATGTGTTTGACCAACTTCTGAAACCAGAACCTGCTGTGGGCAGGGGCCACCACTGCCGGCCAGAACATAAGAAAGAAGACACGGGGTAGTGAGAACAATGTCAGCCCGGAGACCCGTACCTAGAGCGCTTGCATCCGGGACATCAGGAGACACCCCACCCACCCACCCCAAAACATGCCCGCAGACATGGGCATGGCTGGGATCATCAGCCCCTTTCATGGGGGAAAGTAATAGGATCAGAACACCGTGTCCCATAGCCAGTTTCTTGCTAGCCCAGGATGAGAACCCAGCTTCCACGATGTTCGGGACATTACTGTCCACCATGTCTTCCCCCTCCCCAAGTGAAAAACCACCATCCTGGCAGAAACACCCTTGGGTCTGATGCAACATTAATGGGAATGGTTCAAAACCAGCAATATGCCAATTCCTACAAATATCATCAGGCATTTATAATCTCACAGGAGAAACAAAACACTCAAGAGGCAGAAAAGATGCCCTCAATCTATTTTTTTATGGCAAATATACATGGGCCCGGGAATTTTTACTTCTACAGAATGTTTATGGAAGTGGGGGAAGAATATATATACACACACACACACACATACATACACACAGGGATGTTTGCTGCAGCGCATCCCTTGTGGTATCAAAAAATTGAACACCACCCACATATCCACTGACAGAGGGAGAATAACTAAATGGTGTCTTGAAAACATCTACTTTTAATAGCAATGTCTCCGGGCAGTGGGATTGAGGAAGTAGGTGGAGAAGAAGATAGACACCATTTATATACTTTTATGCTGTTTGACTTTTTTTTTTCCACAATGACCATGTATTACTTTTCTATTAAAATGGTTGAAATGTATGTGTGGAAAAGCCTAGAAGTGTATCTATGAAACTCTTAAAGTGGTTACATCTGGGTGTAGGAAAAGGACTAGGGTTTGGGAAGGATGCAAAGTGGCTTTATCTTGTCCTGTTCACTTATTTTACTTTTTTAATTACCCGCATATGTTTTTTTGTTGTTTTTTTTTTTAAAGATTTTATTTATTTATTTGACAGAGAGAGACACAGCGAGAGAGGGAACACAAGCAGGGGGAGTGGGATAGGGAGAAGCAGGCTACCCGATGAGCAGGGAGCCCAATGTGGGACTCGATCCCAGGACCCTGGGATCATGACCTGAGCCAAAGGCAGACGCTGAACGACTGAGCCACCCAGCTGTCCCAGCAAAGAAATTTATTTATTTATTTATTTATTTTTAAAAGATTTTATTTATTCACTTGTCAGAGAGGGAGAGAGAGAGGGCACAAGCAGGGGGAGAGGGAGAGGGAGAGGGAGAAGCAGGCTCCCCGCCGAGCAAGGATCCCTATGCAGGACTCGATCCCAGGACCCCGGGATCATGACCTGAGCCGAAGGCAGACGCTGAACGACTGAGCCACCCAGCTGTCCCAGCAAAGAAATTTATTTATTTATTTATTTTTAAAAGATTTTATTTATTCACTTGTCAGAGACGGAGAGAGAGAGAGCACAAGCAGGGGGAGAGGGAGAGGGAGAAGCAGGCTCCCCGCCGAGCAAGGAGCCCGATGCGGGGCTCGATCCCAGGACCCCGGGACGACGACCTGAGCCGAAGGCAGACGCTGAACGACTGAGCCACCAGGCGCCCTTACCCGCATATGTTAATTTTGCAATAAAGTAACATAGCAACGTGAACTTGAGGAAGAAACCCAGAGACAGAGGAGTTTGGGACATGTTCACGAGGAGACTCCCCAGGTTAAACTGTGGTTTTGTTGTTCTCAAGCACCTCAGAGGGGGTGGGGAAGCTGGGGGTGGTTGCTGCTGTTCCAGCAGTCCCTCAAGAGAGTGAAGACTCTGGTCTCGTGGAGGGCCCACCATGGGGGCTACAGAAGTGGTCCTCCCTGCCTATGCCCTGCCCCCCATGATCTTGAAAACTGTAAATTCCACTACGGACTAACGGGAAAATGGGTGCTGCATTTTTGACATTTTGACTTAAAGCTACACAGCTTGAAACAGAGGAAAAATGGATCTGGAGAAATCTCTACTAATCAAACTCATCAGAGTCAAAGAGTTTTCCAACAAACCCAACACGGTTTGCTAGTAAGTTCTTTCTCACCGGGCAGAGGTGTGTTATCTGATCTCCTGGTAGCAATGACTTATAATTATCCATTATTCCATAAGTCACCATAAGAGAGCCTTTCTGATGAGAATTAATTGTCCCTAAATTAGCTCGATATATGTCTACGTTTTTGTTCTGGAATCTACGTGACATTAAACAAAGGCAACCGAAGGGGAGGGAAAAAAAAGGCTCCCGAAGGGGGGGTGTGGTTAAACAGTAGTCAAGGCCCTTTTTCTTAGCAAATGGTTAGCAAGCTTTGATTTTCTCGAAGTTTTGTGAGGTCCCAATGCTGGGACCAACCCATTTTGTAGAAGAAACAGAAGGAGGAGGACTTTGGTGGAAGCCTGTCCCACTCCCGATTCTCTTTGAGTGACACCTGGTCTTCCCCTCACCCGATGCCACGTCAGGAGGGGCTGCCCCAAGACACAGACACCCAGACAGGAGGACAGCGCCCTGGAGCCTGGCTCCGGCTCGTACTACTTACGGCAGGAGGCAAAGACCACGAGAACCCCAAAGGCCTTCATTCCTGAGGACACCAGGGGGCTGGAGGCACCGTGATCACACCTTACTCTGCTCATGAAGGGTCTGCCAGCCTGAAAATGACCAAAATGAGATGAGGCCATGTGGGTGCAAAACCCCAATCACAACGCAAGGCTCAGAGCAAAGGGATCTTTTTCAAACCTAATTATGTCTGAATATGATACCCCTTCTGGTATTTAGACCTAAATATAAAGATACGAAGGGCTCAGTTGTTTCTGAAAAGTGCAAGTGTTTCTTTTCTTTTTCTGGCAACATCCCTTCATCTCTTTCTTTGTTTCTTTTGAGGAGTCAGTGTTTCCTCTGTTTCCAAGTTTAAAGGCATCCAGGGGGTCTGTGATGGAAATCCCACTCCAGGAAGTCTAGCCCCACTTGCACGGTGGGCCCCCTGCCCATGTCTTCCTTCCTTGGTATCAGGTATCTCATTCAGGAGCTTAGCCCCTCTGAATCTCGGCTTCCCCTCCTGTCAAGTGAGTCCAAAATACCTATCAGTAATTTCGAACATTTATTAAGAAGTTACTCAATGCCAAGTGCTGTTTTCTTTAAGGTCCTCACAGGTATTCCATGATTTAACCCTCACAAACAGAGAGGCTCTGCTATTGCTTTAGAGATGGAAACAAGAGTCAGAACAGCTTCCTTGAACCCACAGAGCCCTCAGCTTCACAGACATGGGGGAACCAACGGAAACAGTGCAGGTAAAGCTGCTCGATACTGTAAAATGCTTTGACAGCGAAACGCAGCCCTCTTGTTATTACTGCAACGCTAAGGGTCCTCATATGTGGCTCGCTTCTCACAGGAAAACAGAGGAGGGCTCAGGGTCCCCCATCATCCCAAGGAGCGCCCCCTGTTCCGGCAACAGCTCTCTCTAAATGCAAGTGGTCTTGAGGCAGCCCATCAGAAATCAGGCTAAATCTGATAACAGCAGGACTTGGAGTATGAACAATAGCTCTGTTGAGCCTGGAGAATTTGGCAGGCACAGAGCTTTGGCTAGATTTACTCCCTGTGACAAAGTTTCCCAGGAAAACTTCAAAATGAGCGTCCTGTGCAGAGCCCCGGGCCCGTTCATCAGGCGTCTTTGCTACTTCTGCCCCTCTCTGGCCAGATTCCGGTGGAGGTTGTAAGGCTCCGCCCTGACCAGGCCTGGTCCCAGCCAGCCTCCCTTCCACGGGCCACAGGGAGATTTTTAAATTAGGTTCCATCTCTACAGGCTGGCTCCCTTTCCTCTTCTGAGTCTGCAAAAATAACCATGTGATGGCGTAGTCCAAGAAGAAGGCACACACGTCTTGTAAATGAGCAGGTGATGAAGCTTTGGAGAGACAAAGAAAGGGACCTGGGTGCGTTACTGGTAATGAAATCAGTGTCTCTCTGTGAGCCAGCTCCTCCTCTGTGCGCCAGCTTCTCCCTCTCTGTCAGTTTCTCCCTCTGTGTGCCAGCTTCTCCCTCTGTCAGCTTCTCCCTCTGTGCGTCAGCTTCTCCCTCTGTGAGTCAGCTTCTCCCTCTGTGTGCCAGCTTCTTTCTCTGTGCACCAGCTTCTCCCTCTGTGTGCCAACTTCTCCCTCTGTGACAGGTTTTCCCTCTGAGTGTCAGCTTCTCCTTCTGAGTGTCAGCTTCTCCCTCTGTGTGTCAGCTTCTCCCTCTGAGTGTCAGCTTCTCCTCTCTGTGTCAGCTCCTCCTCTGTGCACCAGCTTCTTCCTGTGAGTATCAGCTTCTCCCTCTGTGTGCCAGCTTCTCCCTCTG